TCAAAATTAATCACGCCGGTGTGCAGCTGCAGGTTTTCCGAAAGATTTTTCCCAAGGTTTTTGTTCACTTTTGACTGTGAAGGGTGTTTCCCAATATTCACTATTACGTTTAATTTTCGCTATATCTATATAGTAAATATTAGTCAGTCATTTTCATATCATGCTCCCACCTCTTCTTTGCCTTTGAAGAACTCCTTTTTGGCTTCTCATTTTTCCGTTTATGCGGGGTCGGCTGCACGTGTTAATTGTCTTAGAGTTTTCTATTCAAGGCATGGTTTTCACTTACCCCTTTTCTTGAGTTAGTCATGATTGTATCCATCTTGGTCTTCCTTCTGGTCTCCTTCCAAGAGTTTCTAGTTCCCTGTTTTTGACTTTGTGCTATATTAATGGTGACATTTTATTCTCACTGTGAAATGAAATATTTCAAATTCATGAAATATTTTCACATCGCAATTATCTAATTTAAGGTTAGTCTAAAAATGGTTTTTTTTTACCTGTCATAGCTACAGCTTTCCTTTGTGGTAGAAGAAATGGCTTGCTTGTTCATGGCGATTTTCAAAGTTAAAGATTCAACTGGACAAACACTTGAAACTGCAAATGTAAACTTTCTCCAATTTTTTTTTGTTTAGTACATAATCTACGTCTCCTATAATATAGCCATTAAATGGAATTTTCAATCCTAATGTTGCTGCGCATCCACGCAAGAAATTTGCAGAAATAAGTCCACAATCATTAGTTTTTATTAAACCTCAGGTGATTACAGTATTCGCAATGTTAAAGATTGAGCCATTCGAGTTAAATTTAACTGCTCTCAATCTTTTCTTAGCATCCTTCACCAAAATTTCGAAATGAAACCACTTTGACAACCTTTTTGGTAAGTGGAAGGCCATCAAGCGCAAGACATGATGGGATATTTGGGTCTTTTTTCCTCATCATTGCTGTCTGCAATCTTCTCCTAGATAACGCTTGCGATTCATGCCTAACATCTCGTGCGTTTGCTAGTGTCACGAGGTTTTACATCCAAAAAATCTTCAAGAATTATCTTTTCCATTGTTGATTCGAACGATTAAGCAAAACCATGTTCCTTATCGTGCTTATTTCACCTTGTTCTCTTTTCTCTTACTGTCAGAACCCCTGTACCATCAGGGGGCTTATCTCTTTAAAGCTTCGCATTTTTTCTTGCAGTATGCATAATGCGTCTATAAATAATTTTTCACTCAAATAATTTTCCTTAGAAGTTTTCGAAGACTTTCTTGTTTATCTTGAATTATTCTGTTTATTTTCTTTCAGAGTATC